GAGACCCCTGCACTAATGTGGAGTTCTGTATTATCAGTATACTGATGATACTTAGATCTACACTACAACCCTGAGCTGCACAGGTGAACCTGTCAATGTACTGACCGAGTGTCTGGGGGATATTTGGATCTGGATGGAGCAGACCTCAGCTCTATCCTAACATGACTAAGTTACTGTTGCTGTTGGACCCCCAGGGTTTGGAATGTTACTACTGGTAGTCTTGGATGGGGCTGTACTTCCCCTTTCGTGACTAGTGGGCAACTTGGGTGTCCTTCTGAACTTGCAGTTACTGCTCAAAAACAGTTTTGAGAATATCTAGTGAAACATATTACAGTAGTAATTAAAAAATCCTTAGGTGTCATAGTTTGGGCTCAATATACTTCCATCTTTCTCACACAATGGACAAAAAGTTGACCAAAACAATCTTAAACCTAGATTACTTCAGTGCATAATTTCAACAATCACCCCTATTCCAAATCATGAATATTTTATGAAGCAATATAAAATTTCAGCTATGCTAAAAGTTTGATAATTTAAGTAATTACATTATATTTATTTGCTGTATTTCATTCTAACTTATAAACCCAGAATTTGAGCAGGTTTAATTAAAATTGTTGTTTGAAAGTAATACAACTACAACAAATAATATGTTAGTCATAATGTCAAGGTTATCTTCCTTTATTTGAACATAGTCTTGAACACACTTCCTTGCAAGTAATTAACACTAATTTTAGTACAGGTACATTTCTAATGATGAGTTTATACCAGAAGCCTATGCATAAAAAAATTATCATATGAGATTCAGTATCTAGATGAAATGTCTTAAAGCAGAGTTTTAATTGCAGAAATATTGTATTTTCTTAGCACTCAGATTAAAATATTTTATGAAATGTTTTTAATCTGAACAAGCATATTCAGGATCCTATTATGTGGGAAGTGGAAGAATAGCTTGGGTGCTTACTGGATATTGTCAGTGAGAAGAAGTAATGAAAACAATGCACTTGGCCCCACAGCTACAATACTTTTGAAATATATGTTGGGGGGAGTGGGTGTTTCTCTTTAAAAAACACCCACCCACTAATTGCTTGTCATGTGCCTGGCATTTTAAAAACTATATTTTGTGGGTCATTATCTACAACAGAGTCGTGTACATTTTTATTCAAAACTAAATTTCAGTTAAATTCACTGGGAAATTAATTGTGTCAAGAGCTACAATAATAGCATTCTTGTCTGATAGCTAGCATCTAGTACAGCGGTTCTCAACCTATGGGTCGTGACCCCATTTGGGGTCGATCGACCATTTCACGGGGGTCGCCAAGCAAGGCTGTCCGCCATTTTTTCCCCCTTTTCCGGCGGGTGCCTTACCTCCCTTGAGCTGGGCCAGCTGGTGGTCGGCCTGCTCCGTCTCTGCCACTTGCTAGCTACGCCTCGGCCGGCGCAGGGGGCGGAACCACGCATGCGCAGCGCTCCCGGGCAGGGAAAGTCCTCAACTTACGACCGGTTGGGTAGTCCTCGACTTACGACCGGTTTAGTCCTCGACGTACGACCGGTTTAGTCCTTGACTTACGATCGGTTGGGGGTCGCGGCATTAAAAAGGTTGAGAACCACTGATCTAGTACTATGCTATATATTAAAGCTGTGTTTAATCTTTAACTGAGCAAAATGGTACATCATGGGACAACAAGTTTTGATCCAAGGTACCTCAAATGGGCTAACTTATAGAACGTATCCAAAATCGGGGACCCATGACTCTTATGGAAATGAAATTGGCCAAATTTTATAAAACATTTCCTCTGGTCAGCCCCTAATGTTGACTGTGCTATGTAGTTCAATATGGTCTATTTTTAAGGCAGATGCATCTCTAAACATTTCCCTGGCTTTTAAAGAACTTCTCTAGTGAAGGCAATATATTAGAACCTCTGCCATTGTTGAAATAATTGAGGAATCTGCCAAGGAAATATTTCTGAAACAATGGCCCAATGGGTCAAAGATTTCCTGGTATGGTATAAAGCAAAAGCTAAAGCAACCAACTTATTAATAACAATTGAATTGCAGCATGATTACTTCCATTAAAAAGAAATCCCACCAAGCTCCTTGCATTATGTGGACCCAGGATATCATATCTGTCAATAATATGATTTTTCTGCTTAGAAAAGATCTTGCTTATAAATAAAATTGAATTCCTAACTACATGTTAAGTGTAACTGCATTTGAGGCTCCTCCTAAAATTCTTTGTCTGAACAACTTGGAGAGCAAGATAGACAAGGACATATTTTGTGATGTCTGTTTCCAAAACTCACATTATTATACATTTGCCCCCAGAAGTGAAGCTATTGGGTATGGCATATTAATAATCAAAAGAACTTCTTTGGTTGGAATTATATTCTAGTCCCACAATGCTAGTGAGTGTGGGTTTACTCCCTATTTATATACAATAGCTTGCCCTGCCAGTATTCATGGGGGTTATGGTTTTCTCCCTGGCATTTCTTGATTAGTGTACTGTTTGCTGGTTGATGTTTGTCCAGTGTTAATCCCCACTTATCTAAGGTAGGGGCTGATAGCCGGAGAGGATGTGTTTTGGTCTTTTCATTTCCTTCTTAGCTTATTATTGAATGGTGTGTAAAAGTGATTTATCTTTATGTATCTATTGATGACTAATGGCAGGGAAGGACAAGCTATTTTATATAAACAGGGAACATATCAACACTCACTAGCAGTGATGTTACCTGGTGGGCAAGCAAACAAGCATGCTTAGATTCGTGGAGACTCTGAGGTGTTACTTCTGTAATAAATGTCAACGGAACTCATAAGTACATACACCTTCTTTTAAGTAGATTTTCTCGGATTGTATTTTCTCCTCTGTCCCTCCCTCCCTCCCCCTCCCCCTCTCCCTCCCTCCCTCCCCCTCTCTCTCTCTCTCTCTCTCTCTCTCTCTCTCTCTCTCTCTCTCTCTCTTGCAAGAAAACTCTTAGAATGTGAGAAAAAAGAGTATTTCATACATAGCAAACAAAGAGGAAATTGATGTTTCTGTATTATCACTTTAAAAAGAGATACAGGTCCTTAAGAACACTCGGGAAAAACAAGTCCAAACTACTAATGATGTTACTTAGTTGAGTATGAAACACCTGCAAGCAACTACACTCAGAAAGCACCAAACACTCCAAAGTTCAGACTATTTAGACATCAAGATTAGACTTCAAATTATTATGTTATCTTAACCTTTAAAAGCTCATCCTGTCAATAAATTTCAAGTGCAATGCTTAAATAAGGAAGTAAGCCTCATTAAGCAGTCGGAATTCCTCCAAATACATAAAAATACATTTGTTAGGCTAATGTTATGATAGAAATTTCTTAAATAGTAATGCAATAATTTTCTTTTTTTCCATTCTAGATATTTTAATGCCCTCAAGTTTTTTTTAAAAAATATTTTAACAGCATGTTTGGGGCTTTACTTTTTAAACCAAGTTCATTCAGTCTTTATTTCAGCATGAGGCTAAAATGAGGTAACTTTATGCTCAGTGATACCATGAAATATATATAATTTGCATCAAGATCTGCATTAAAGAAGGGATGGAATATTGCGTGATAAGTTGTGTCAAGTTTTTTAAAAAATGTGATTGTGACAGGCACACGCTAAAAGCAAGAACCACATGTAAAACATACACGCATTCTTCATTAAACTGTTAAAATGTCTACTTCAGAACAACATTTTATCAATTGGAACATTATGAGATTTACTCATAAATCTAAACCAGCAAAGACTCCATTAACACGTAGCTGACATTTCTTTTCACAGGAAAAAACAAAGCATCAGAATCCAGAAAAGTGACTCATATGTCCAATTACCAGAAAGTTATGTCCAGATGAAAATCAGCAGGACTTCACTCTCAATATTGTAAACAGGTTTCCTTCCTAGGGAAACAGGGCCCGTTCAATCTTTTCTCTTTCCTCGACTCTCCCCGTGTTTTGCCTCTAACATGCGTAAGAATTATTAACTCATAACATTTGCCGTAATTTCCACACCGAAACATTAACGCGAAAAGGTCGTTCGTTACAGCTTTCCTAGAAGCCGAGTTTTCAACAAGTGCGTTTCCCAAAATAAAGAAAAGAGGGAAAGGGGGCAAGTAAGTAAACCGGAGGAGGGGAGGGGGGAGGCGGAGGAGAGTGACAAGTCCCGATGTCAAGTTCCATCCCAGGTACATCGGAGACCGGATTTTTTTTATTTGAAAGAAATCCCATTTAAAAAACCCCCAAAAAAACCCCACGGCACGGAACTTGCCACTGCAAGGCTCCAGGTTTTTTAAGGACAACCCTATGTAAATAAACGCTGTTTCCTGCTCTCCAATCGAGAGGAAGAGCATCTAATTTCACTTCCACATCTCTCCTGACCAAATGCCCCGCGATATATAACCCAGGGACAATTCTTTCAATCCGAAGTATTGATTGATCTTCCTTCCACTCTCCCCAAACCTTTCCTGAGTGGGGCGCCCCGTTCATGCCGCCGGAGACCCCCAAGGAGGAAACGTCTCTCGCCCCCCCCGTCATTCCCAAGAAGGGGAGGTGGAGGCAGTGGGAGCCCCCCCAGCCCCCCCCCAAAAAGGCTCGCCGCACATGAAGCCTTACCCAGAAACTTGAAGCCCTTTCTCATGCCCTCCTCGATTCTCCCGTTCGTAGGCTGGCACCCACCCGCTAAACCCATAAACAACGTGCCTATTACAAACCAGCGCTCGCTCGCTCGCTCGCTTCCTCCGCCCACCTGTCCAGGCAGAAGACCGAAGCGGAATGCAGCCGGCGCGGGAACCACCTCGGCAGAAGTCTCCCTCCCTCCCCAACCTGCCGGGGGGACGTTCCAGAAGAGGAATCCCCTTCGTCGCGCGCGGGCATCCAAGGGGAATCTCCTCCACCACCTCGCCTCTCCTTCAACGCCGCCGCCGCCGCCCCGACCCTTCCCTGCCAGCCCGACTGCAGGTAGCAGCCCTCCGCCACCTCCGAGTCCTCACCGTGCTTAGAAGGACGGGGAGGGGGAATCTCAGTCCCTGGCCTCCGCTCAAAGCGGCTCGCCAGCGTAGCAAAGAAAAACGACGGCCGGCACAAGCAACCCCTATACCTGACCTACTTTCCGCCTGGCTTGCCGCTGAACGTCGCACCACTAACCTACTTTCCAGCCAATGGCTTCTCCCCCCGCATCAAGCCCCTGCCCGCCTCTTGGCCAATCGTCGAACAGAGCTTGCGCCCGCTGCCCAATCCTCCTCCAAAGACGACGCTTATGTTCCGCCTTCGATCCGGCCAACCAATCCGAGCCGTGCGGCTGAAGAGTAAACGAGTCAGAACGAGGATAACACTCTTGTTGTGCCCGTCCGCTAACGATTGTAACTTGCGAGAGAGAAGGGGAAGAGCAAGAGAGGACTGCCGCGCGGGTGCGCGTGCGTACTTGCTCTCGCTCTCGCTCCCGCCCTGCCAGTAGTTGTGTAAGTGGCTGCTTGGAACGGGCGGGACCCGGATATAAAGATTCTGAGAGCCGACCGGGATCCCCCTTCGCCCGGTGATTCCCCCTCTGGCTGTGCAGACCGGTGTTGGGTCACCCGCGTCTGCTTCTGCGTGTATTTGCTCCTTGCCGAATTCGGACCGATAATTCTATGCTTCCCTCTCCACCCAGACCTCGGGTTTTTTTTCCGCTTTTGGGGCATTGCCTCGCAGGGCAGCCGCTTTCTGTCCCCAAGCAGCATTTACTTGTGACAGATCCTAGCACCTCTGTTGTTAAATGCGGTTAGCGGCGCCTATTTGCCCGGCTGATCCCGAAAAGCAAGCAGTGTCGGATCTGGTTAGCAAGCAGTGTCGGATCTGGTTAGCAATCTGGATGAGAAGCCACCAGGAAATCCTAGGCTAGACTGGGATAGTGAAACATGTTGCAGAAGAACGCAGGAAAGTGAGGAAACAATGTGGCATTGCTACCAAAAATTGCACATTTTAGACTCCAGGAATAGACTGTAACTTGAAAGAGGCTAGCTTTTTCAAAGCTTTGGGGTAGATAATGGTAGGGGGAAATCAGTGGTATTTAGAGCTTTTCTGAATACCAGTAGACCAGCGAATGGTTTCTGACTCAACTGATTTTTAATTATAAAACCAACAGAAAGTTACCCTCCCAAATCATATTGCTGAAACAAAAACATCTTGGAATACTACGCATTCTTTAATATATTTTGTGTCAACCTCTGGTTAATCTCAGTGCCCTGGTTAAAAAAAAAAAAGTCTACAGACCAAAAGTCTATCTCTGAATTAAGGGATCCTTACAAAACCCAATTTTTATAGTCTTTTATGAGAAGTCTCCAAGTATGTGCTCTGTAACAATGTTTCCAGTATACCCCATTTCTGTGTTGATAAATCCTAGGCCTACTATAAAAAATATACACAGGAAAAATTGTATCTGGGAAAACTGACACTTAATAAAAGTGGCTTTCTTCATTGCTGATCTCCAATGCAGAGAAATTTCCATCTGCCATTAGCCTGATTGCCATTCAACTGTTCCTGGCAAATAACTTGCCCCATCAGTCTCCCAAAAAAAGGGGGGGGAGACAGTACCTAGCCCAGAGACAAAAGAATGCTTTAGTGTGAAAAAAAGTGAACTGTGAAAAGTGTTGCTTATTCCATTTTTGATAAAATTATGCTCAGTTGCCTCATTTCTTGTATGGAATTATCCTCATTTTGCTGTTTACAATTAAGCAAGCAAAACAGTCTCTCTTAAACTGAAGTCCTGCTGGTTGACTCTGATAATGAACTTTATAAATTATTTTTTCCCAACAATATACCCCCCCAGTTCCTCTTCAATATTAAAATTTTGCCATATGTGTTCAGATGACAGCTCCATAAATTTATAACCAGTCAAAGCCACACTGCCTAGTTACCTCCATGCAGAAATACTCAGTAGACAACAGTGTATATTCAAATAGACTGCTGTTTCCTGGTTGCCATATGTCAATGAGAAGAGTCACCTGGAGTGAGAAGATGCATTTGATCTAATACCTTACAGCAGGGCTTTTCAACCTTTTCACCCATTGTACCACTTTTAGGATATGGCAATATGCGAGTACCACCAGTCGCCCAGCAAGGTGTCAAAAACATGATGACCAAAAACAAAAAAAGGAAAAAAAGTGATAAAGTACAAGTAGTCCTCGACTTACTACAATTCGCTTAGTGACTGTTCGAAGTTACAATGGCATTGAAAAAAGTGCCCCCCAAGCCACAGCCGAGCAAGACACCTGCCTGCCCACCCGGCGGCGCTCTTCCTCCTGTCCGAGGTTTTCATTGTTGTGAGCATTTCTGTTAAGGATTGGCAGTGGGGGTGGGATGGGGGGTGTTTTTATTCCCCCTGTCTGCTGGGTGGTTGCAGCAGGTTTTGGTCACTTCACATGACCCTGGGACACTGTGACCATCATAAATATGAATCAGTTGCCAAGCATCTGAATGTAAATCACAAGACCCTGGAGATGCTACAACATTCCAGCTGATCGGCGCTTCTTCTGGGCTCAGCAGAAGCGCCAGGATCAATGCTGAGCTCCAGCTGGAGCATGGCGCTGATCCTGGCACTTCCACTGAGCCCTGACAGCCCCGAAGAAACGCTGATCCTGGCGCTTCCGCTGAGCCCTGGCAGCCCTGCAGCTCCAGCCATCTCTTGTGAGGTGCTGCCACCAGTTCAGCTCATTCCCCTCCCCCGCTACCACTTTTCTAGGATGGTTGCGTACCACCTGCCAGGTGCCAATGTACCATAGGTGGTACCCGTACCATTGATTGAAAAGCCCTGCCTTACAGGGAACATTAAAAGTACATGACAAGTCATATGCATTGTCATGTAATTTCAATGTCCCTGTTAAGATTTAATATAAGAGAGAGGCTAAAGGAATTAATCTTTCAGATAATAACCAGAAGCCATCAGATAAAAGCTGAACCTGAAATAATCTGTGACCTCCAAGTTGTGTTCATGCCTAGAATTTTATTGTTTTTGTAATACATTTATTAAATTTCAACATCAAAGATTAAAATACCAATTAACATAAAAGGGAAAGGGAATAACAAAACAAATTGAAAATGACAAAAACGATATCAAACGAATTTATAAGATTTATAAGATGACCTTTGGCTTTCTTATAGTGTAGAGATAACAATACAATCATCTCTCTTAAGTTTAAACAAATAACATAAAGTATCTTAAAATTATAGTAATTAATCTTACTAAAATGAATATTCATGCAATATTCTCTTAATTTTATTTTACACAGAATTTTAAAGTTTTGCGGTCCCCTTTGAATTTCAAAAGAATGTCGGCCATGGGATTTCTAATAATGTTGAGATCTGAAGACTGTAGGAGAAAAAAACCTTATTATTGTTCCATACAAAAGAGAGGAGCAAGTAGGAAAAGTCCAGTCTCACATATATGCCCATTCCATGTTACTCTTTGCCCTTTCCAGAAATGTGAAGTAGAATCCCTAATTCAGTGCTTCTTTGTTAGTTAATGAACTTTCTGCAAAATTATGTGGTTTTTGTCAAAGTAAAGAAATGTTTTATAATCATTTAGGATTTTAATAAGAAATAAAACAAGAAGATGCTATTGTGAAGAATGTAACTGTAAACCAGGTACGTTCCACTGTTGTTATTTTATCACTTTGAAATTGATGAAAATATGTTGTATAATTTCTATTTTATTTTATTTATTTTTGCCCTAAAGCTTCTCTATCTCAAAACACTCTCTGCTACTCTATATTTCTATTCTTCTTTGCTATTTTAAGTGACTCCAGCAATGAGTACCATACTGGATGTCAAAAGAACTTTTCTAAAGCATAGCAAAATAACAGGAGGTATTACATTTACACAATTGGGACTTGCAATAAAATACATAGTGCAGTGTTCCTGTTCAATGATGCAGTCAGCTGTGGCCTTTCTTTTTCCTCCCCACTGAGCATATTCAGTCCTAATTCAGATGTTTTGGGGTTTTTTTGCTTCTCTCTTTAAAAGTTAATAGAAGGGGCTCTCCCCATATGTTCTTCTCTCCAATCCTTTAATTTTGACAGTCTTCTCATTCAACCAGTCTACCCATCCTTTTTATTGCAGATTGTGCCTTTATAACTATATAATCTTGTCCGGCAGCAAATTTGTACTTGGAGAATGAGAACATTTTAGCATACGTGAATCTGTTCCATGCTTCTCTTCTGCCATCTTCATGATTTTTTACATCACAAGTCTATGAGTCTAGTAGTGTCCTGTGATTTATTTATTTTTAGTGTGGCTTTTAAGACAACAGTTTTCTTCTGCAATCATCTGTGATTTCATAGGATTATATGATAGAAGAGGTGAGCCTTTTCTTATTAAAGCAAAAAAGAGGCTAGGGAGATACCATAGCTGCATGATGCCTATGAATTGGTAATTCTAGAAGCTCTTCATCTTCAAGGATTCTGTGGCAGCGTATCTGGTTCTTCATCATAACAAAACGCTGTAAGATTTTCCTAAAGTCAGTGTCACTGCTACAGTAGTAACTGTATCCACCCCCTCACACTTCCAGAGTCGCAACTTGAGTTGCCATGGCAACATCAACCCCCACAAAATGCCTTAGAATAAGTACTGCAATGCCTAAAAATGACATCATGCTATCCAACCATACCATCAAGTAGTGAAGGCACCAAAAGACATGGCTGACAAAGCAACACGTTGACTATAAAACAGGCGTGGATGATATATCCGCAAAAGAATGCATGCGTGATGTCTAATTCTTTTTTGTTTGAAATCATTATTGCTAATGGCTGCCCTATTTTTTCCCCCCTGATGTTGACATTTCTACAATTTCAGGATTGCTCTCTCTATTTACCAGCAGTATCTGAGAGAACTGATGGTTCACTTGTTAAATATCCCTGTACGTTGCTGCAGCATCATTACTTAGCATTATTACTTGTATAAAATGTTCTGGTTCTGTATTTCAATGCATAATGATGTTAAACTTCTTTAATTAAGGGCCTATCAGTGTTAGTAGGTGAC